GTTACCTGAGCAGCCAACTGCAGCTCCCATTGAGGCTGCTCCCATTGTGCAATTAATTCGTTGTGTTGTGTGTTACCATGTTGCATTGCCCTTACACTCTATGCCCCACCAATGGCCAATTCTGATATTGCACGGTGGAAGTATTTATAAGCAGACAAAGGCGAAGAATACTTTGCTTGGTAGGTCTGATAAGGGAGTGGCAGAAGACTAGAAAAAAATCCCTGTGTAGATTTATATGTAGACCGTGTCGCATGTCCGTTAGTAGACCTCTTGCAATATCTACAGTGGCAGCAACGATGATGGCCAACGATAACGGGGACAGTTCAGGTCACTCTGAGACACGCTTCATTTCAACTACCTCCAATGTCCTAATGGAGAAATTTAAAATGTTCATACCCCCACAGTGTTCCTCGAATGATGCTATATCAGTAGCGCTGTGAGAATCCATTAAGAGGCAGTAAGGCCAACCCATCTAAGAGGGTGGTTGTAAGCCTGGCCATGACACTGAAAATCGGGGCCGTTCCCACAATCGCTGCTCATAGCCGCTTCTGCCCTCTACTTTCAGCCCTTGTTGCTGGCTCACTTTGTGGAAAGTTGTCTACTGGCCATGACACTGTGAAAATCAGGGCCGTTCCCACAATAACTGCTCATGCTCTCCTCTTTCAGCCCTCGTTGCTGGCTCACTTTGTGGAAAGTTGTCTCGCTTTCTCCAGCACGACAAGGAATGGCCGGCCAAAACTGCAAAACATTTGCTGGCTGCGATTTAAGTAAAGCCCACATTCTGAAACGAGTGCTTTTCCTTTCTGGCTTTGTGGTGAATCTGAAACTCAGAGAAATTGGCATTTTTAGAACTACAACTCCCAGATCCCCCCTAGGTAGCGAGACCACTGGGGAATTGTCGTCTTAAAAAGTCATTTTCCAAAGCTTTAAGTGAGTTGCACCACACAGAAAAAGGGAAGGTTCCCCTCATGGATACGTCTTCTAATTGGTTCTCATTTAATCTGACGGAATACCGTAGCTTCAAGATTGATAGTGGATGGATTGACTGACCTTAATATTGCCTCAAAGGCTCACTTATTTCTACAGGATTGTGTCCCGGTCAGGACTCTTTTATTGTTTTTATTCTACGGGGAAGGGGCTTATTTCAGCAGACATGATCCTATATGACCAGTGAATAACATATTCTGTTCCCCGTCTTCATCCTGTATAAAAAGTAATGGCTAAAACTTCACACAGAGACACACATGCGTGGAAAGAAAACCTAGATTGTTAAATCTGTAAACCAGGTTCAATTTGCACAGAACTAAGTTTCAGCCAGTCTGAGTGCCTGACAAGGTTTGGAATCTTTAAAAAAGGGTTCTTCTGAGCACGTGCTGAGTGCTTTCCTTTCTACATACCAATTCTCACAGCTCTTGGCAGTGGAAGGAAAAGCAGAGTTATCTCTAAGGTGGCTTGAGTCAATACCTTTGAGATTTGGAACGTTTCATAATTGGTTGTGGGATAAGGTGAGGGGAAGAAAGCTCAAGTGTAGGGCCGGGAAGGATACGGCCCTCTGTCTGTGGGTGTTAAGAGGTATGGGCAGACCAAGATGATACAAATAGCACATAATTAGAAACAGAACTCTATTAAAAGGTAAAAGACATCTGCTTATCCTAACGCTGGCTCACCTCAGTCCCCATTTTGCAAATCAGCTGATGTTTGTTTTATTATTGCTCTTTGGAACATAAACTTGGGCTTTATGTGTATGTCTCATTTCACAGCATATAGGAAGAAAGATGTACAGTATGTGCTTGAAGGGAAAACATTAGGAAAAAGGCATTTTCCTTAATATGCTATTTGACCCCTCGTGGCATTAGTAGATGAGAACTGCTTTTGCTTCTTGAATCCAAGATTCTTGAGAATTCACCAGGAAGCAGAAACAGGAAACCTTCAGCTTTTCTTGTAACATAAAATTTAAAAAAAAACTTCAATTTCCTTCTAATGATTTTTAATTTTTTTTGGCTTTGTCTTGTGGGCTAGCGTAAAAGCCAGAAAGTGATTATTTGAACTGATGCCTTGTCAATCCCAGAGAATCAACCTGCCTAGAGGAAAACTGAATTTAAAATTGGTTTGAAAAACAATAGCAAAGCACTGAAAAACTGGACAAAACCAAACGCTTGAATTGGCACTGTGGATGAAAGAGAGGGGTTGTGGCTTTTTTTTTCTTTTGTAATTTGAGACTCTAATAATGGACTTACGTTGCCCGCTCTTCCCTTTTTCTTACACCTTACCCTACTAAAGGAGGAAATCTTGATTGGTAAGTGGATGCTAACCGCAAGACGCTAGGGCATTTCTTGCTAGAGGAACTCAAAAACTCTTAGCTGTACCTTCTCCAAGGGGAAAAACACACAGAGCAATATATGTCTGCCTTTTTTCTCCAGAGGGATTTTGCTTTCAGGTCGTTGTTTTGTCGTTGTTGTTAAGTTTCTTTTAATTTCCTCCTTTTTTCTTTAGATGGTTTTTCAAATTATTCTCGTTAGTTTGCCAGTTTTTTTCCCCTCCCCTTTACTTTATGCCTAAACCTTTTTGGGTTGTTGTTGTCCGATGGCCATCTCATCTCTTCCTGATCAAAAACATATTTTTTAAAAAAAAAAAATTGGAAATCATCTTACCGAGTACAATCCAACCAAAATTAAACCCTCATTGCACGGGATGCCGTGGCCTTCCCGGTATAGCCCCATTTTTGGACTACAACCCCCATCAGCCCTTGCCAGCACTGTCAATAGCTAGCGGAGAGGGAGCTGGAGTCCACCAACCTCTGGAGGATGTTGGGTTCTCTATTTCTTCCTTATACATTAGCTGTGCATCAGGAATGATGTTCCCGGATCTGCAAGCCAGTCAACAGGAGAGGATGCAGGGAGCTGGAGGACCACCAGATGCCCAATTCTGCTTCACATGTTTACAATGAAATAAAGAAGTCTCCTCAAATTCAGTGGACTTAGCCCTTTATCTACCACAGTTCTATGTGAGCTGGACGTCAGTTTCAGTGCATTCAATGGAATTTGCTGTGAACGTAAATCGATACACATACACATACGAACCTCTGGTTATTTAAGTCAGAGAAAACAGAAGCACATCCTGCTCCAGGATAGGAACAATCATATTCACATCTTTTTCCATTGACTTCAAGGTAGAGGTAAAGGTTCCCCTTGACATTTAGTCCAGTTGTGTCTGACTCTAGGGCGCGGTCCTCATCCCCGTTTCCAAGCCGTAGAGCCAGCGTTTGTCCGTAGACAGTTTCCATGGTCAAGTGGCCAGCGCGACTAGACACGGAATGCTGTGACCTTCCCACCGAGGTGGTACCTATTTATCTACTTGCATTTACATGCTTTCGAATGACTAGGTTGGCAGGAGCTGGGACAAGCGATGGGGGCTCACTCCGTTGCGTGGATTTGATCTTATGAAGGCTGGTCTTCCAACCCTGCAGCACAGAGGCTTCTGCAGTTTAACCCGCAGCGCCACCACGTCCCTCCATTGACTTTACAATGTACAAATTAATGCAAATCAGCATCGCGTTTTTCCCCCAATTCAATTTTTTTCTCATCCGCCGATAAGGCTTCTACTTTTTTTTTTTGTAGCAAATGCATTCACATCAGTTCAGGTAGTGAGATCACTTGAACTGATGTGGAGGGTTATATAGACATTCTGTTTAAAGCCCTTCTACCCAGATGTGGTTGAAGTGGCAGCACAGAGACCAGCTACCCCCGAATCCTTTTCTCCCCAAAGCTGATGCTGAGTCTGCTTGCTGTCTTCCTCCCGCTCTGTCTCATTTCTTTTGTTCATTCTTTCTTTTCAAAGGTTTCATGCTGTTGTTTTAAGACACCTAGGTGGCTAAAAGGAGGAAGGGGGAGTGAGGAATCGATCGTTAGAGAGAAGGAAATTGCCAATCAGCCCTGATTACAGCTTGTTACTGTAGTTCTTCTCTAACTGTGTCTCCTGCAGATTTGAATGCCTACAGCAGAGCTACCTTAACAAGCAGTAAACAAGGCTGATTGCCAGTTTCCACCTCTCTCTCTCCCTTTCTCTCCCTATCTCTGCTAACTCCCATGTGGTCAGCTAAAGCAAATTCACCCAGGTACACCTGAATTAATGGGTGCTAATGCACTACCAATCCATTCACAGTTTTCCTAATTCCCACAAATCCTTTGACAACATCTTGAAATATGCTATTTTTTCCAATCTTTCTGTGATCAAAAATCTCCCACTGCACTCAATGGTATCTAAAAGAGCTTAATTTTGGCTGGATTGTGCTCCTAGGATTTTGTTTCATTATCTTTGATTTCTAAAGTATATTTTCCCCCTTTCCTTTTCTTTCTTTCTCTCTCTCTCTCTTCTTTGATTTCTAAAATATATTTTTCCCCTTTTCTTTCTCTCTCTCTCTCTTTTTTAAAAGGTACATTTATTCCTATTCCTTTTGCTCTCCCTTTCTTTCTCTTTTTAGGTCTATTACATTTATTCCTATTCCTTTTGTTCTCCCTTTCTTTCTCTTTTTAGGTCTATTTAGGACAATGTGTTTTTGTTTTGTTTTGTTTAATTAGTCTGCTTTAATTTAGAACTTTAAAAAAAAATCATTCAACATGGATAGCATGCTTAGTACTTCTTTGCATGATGCCTTAAAATCTTCCAATTATATCCGGGGGAAAAGGACACTTTCTTTCAAGGGAAATGTAGTTTTGGTTTGGTTTTTAAGTTCTGACTTCTCTTTTCTTCGTTTCCTTCCTTCCTTCCTCTTTTTTCCCCCCTTTCTTTCTTACTTTTCTTTGACTACAGACTTTGCATCATGATGGTAAAAACAATATATTTGATTTGACCAAAAAAAAACGCCCAAAACCACTGGTTGATTTGAGAAAAGAAATAAATGTATAAATAAATCATAAAGACAGGGAAAGCTAACACATACTCCCTTGTACTGAAAAAAGCATTTATTTTAAACACGGGCAAAATGGCTTTTTTGTTTGCAGATATCAAAGACTGGGGTTTCTGCTGACCTCTTTCAAAAAGCAGAAGGTCAGGTGGTCAACCCAGTCCAACGCAATGGAGAACCCCATGAAAACGACTCAGGAAATGACACTTCTTCCCCGCCATCCAATCAGACAAGCACATCAAGGTCAAAGGGCAAGCAAGAAGCCAGCTGCCCGGTTCATGATGACTTTGGCAATACCTTCTCATCTGCCAGCAGCGGAAGCAGCTCAGATTCGGGAAATTCCTTCACCAGCTGCTTTTCTCGGACAAAAGGAGCAACTCGGGAAGATCCGGCTCCATCTCTGCAAATCCAAAGCAAGAATCAAAGGTGAGAACTTGCCCAGGGAGTTGGTACCCAACTACATGTCCCATGGACCACAGAAACTTGCCATGTACCAACTCAGAGCATTGATCCGTTTAGTCCTGGTGGGGGCAACATCACCCATCACCCATGGATGCAAACTTCCTCCCTGTGCTATTTTTGCCCCTAGGGTCATGTGTCACCAATAATAGGTCACCTACATAATAAAAACTACTTCAAGAACAAGGATTCCATATATTCTCAAAGGCTTTCACAACTGGGATCTGATGGTTGTTGTGGGTTTTTCAGGCTCTTTGGCCATGTTCTGAAGGTTGTTCTTCCTGACGTTTCGCCAGTCTCTGTGGCCGGCTGTTCCCACAGCTATAAATATTCAATTATCCAACAAACAGCAACAGAGTACAGTGGACCCTCTACTTACGGAATTAATCTGTATTGAAACGGTGGCTGCAGGTCGAACAGTCTGTAGGTCGAATCTCCATTGACCTACAATGCATTGAAAACC